AGTATTAAATGATTATAAATTACTAATTATATAAATATATAATAAATCTATATATAGATTAATTCTCAACTTGATGAATAGTTTAGTATTAAACGAAAGATGTTAGAAATTATAACTATTCTATAATTTACGTTTGTAATCAGACCAATATTGATTTTGATAGATTACTTTGAAAACTTATCATTTATTCAAAATTAAAATTGGTCCTTCATACAGTAAATAAATAATAAAATAAGAAAAATGTCTAATACAGCTGTTTAATCCAGGTATTGTCTTTATTTATATTAAAACAAATATAAACCCTATTTTCAATATATTACATTAACCTTTATTGTTACATGCATCTATTTTTGAATGAATTTCTATTCTATTCTGCCAAAATCCATGTAGAGACCCTAATTTCTAAAAGTCATTACTAGAGCTGAATTAGAAATTCACCTAGGTTGTTATGCTTTTCATTGGATCTATTTATCAAGCTTTAACTTTAGTATTTCTGAGGAATTCTAATAATATGGAAAAAAAAAATACCCTTCTCTAAAATACGGAAAAATAATTTTAAATTTTGATCATCCAATTGTTACCATAAATTAAATATTTATAGCAAATTTATTATATTATATGTTTTAATAATTTTATCGAAGAATATAATTGTAAATCATGAAAGAATATTTTCTGAGTTATTATCAAAATTATTGTATGTACCGCCTTAATTCTTGCAATATTCACTCATGTTAAGGAAATTTATAGTGATTCAGAGGCAATTGATTTCAATGCAAATTTAAGCGATGAAGAGCTGTCTGAAACAATAAAACTACAAACTCTAGAGTAATATTGTTCTCATATTCATTATGTAACCTAGTTTTCTTAGCAAAAATAGCTTTCATTTTAGAAATGATTATAATGTTAAGTCTTATTATTTATCCGAAGACTTGGAAAATGCCTGGAGATATCATATTTTTTATTTCTTTTTGTGAGGCCCTCTTATGTATTCATTGGTTGAGTACAAGCATATACTTTATGATAAATGAGATTAGTCCATTAAGTGATGAATTATTTTGCTAGCTCAATTCAGTGGTAAGCATATTTGCTGGGACTGGTGATGTCACTTACAATCTTATATTCTGCCTTTATGTTAGAATAACTCTGAAGGAATAATTTTTGGCAAGAAAAAAATTACCTCTCATACTTCATTCTATTGCATTGTTTACGATGATTTCTGTAACGTTGATAGCAAAATTTTTTCATTACAATGGATTGTCATTATTTGGCACATGTAGTTTAAAGTATAATCCTGGATTTAATTTTGCTGGGTTGGTTTTAGTTTTTATAAACACTTTCATGTCAGTTTATACAATGTTATATATAAAGAAGGCTGTTCCTGAGAATCAAAGATATTTAAATTTGATAGGAAAAGTAACTCGATATTATTCTTAATATATAACAGCTTAATTTTTTATATAATTAACTCAAGCAATAAGTTATATCTTAGTTGGACTTAATTGCACAAAATTTCAAAAAGGATGGTTATTAATATTCATTACAATTGAAAATTCTGCTAAATTATGCACTCCTTTTGTATTATCTATCTTAAGACTTAGAGATCCAACTATAAAACGATAAATCTTGCTAATTTGGAAGCAATTTTCATCCAAATCATCAATTGGCATTTCTTTATGTATATATATATCTGATAAATTTATTTTAGTACCTGAAGAATAGAATTTAGTAGTTATTGCTAAAACTTTGCTATTAGATAAGGTTAACACTATTGTTTATAGCATATAATAAATATTCTAATAGGATGATTATACAGAAAATAATTCAAAAGTAAACTATTTATTTTTAAAAAAATACAAAATAAATAATCAAATAATTCATAATGAATCCTAATAGACTTTAGAATAGGATGAGAAAATAACTTAGGAGGAAATCAATGAAGAAAGTTAATTCATTATTCCACCTGAGTAAGACCTAGATATTGAACTAAGGTTAATGGCTTCTACTATGATCATTTATGCTCCAAAAGTTTTTCTAAAGTTGAGAAAAAAAGATTGTAAGGTGAATAATTATTCAGATTCTTTTAATCCAATAGCTAATTAAGAGTAAATCAATTCTTTTACAGGTCCAGATGGTGGAAAGGGAGGAGCATTCTTCTTTTTTACATTCGATAATAAATTATTAATAAAAACAATTAGTGAATAAGAACTTTTAGTAATTAAAAAAAATTTAGGAAGCTATTTCTTTCATCTAAGTAGAAATGAATCTCTAATCTCCCCAATTTATGGAATCTTTAAGTTTGTGTTACAAAATGTATTATTTTACCTTAATTATAGGGTTAAGAGTCTCAAATATTTATAGTTATGAGAAATGCTCTCTAAATTCCATCATCTAATGTAATCAGAACATATGACCTAAAAGGATCCGAGTATTAAAGAAAAGTCTTGAAACAATATGATCTTAAGAAAGATTTGACAAAGACTACTCTTAAAGATATTGATTTTAAAGAAGAAGAAGGCAAATTATTCATTCCTGAAAATATTAAAGATCTACTAAAAGATAATTTAATTAAAGATTCTAAATTCTTTTCAGAATTGAATCTAATGGATTATTCATTACTTATAATTAAGATGAATTGGTCAACTTTCTNCCTACTCTTTCTTGTGTTGTTCTACAAGTTCTTATTTCTTAATGAGTCTTTCCTCTTTTCAGCTCAACCTAGACTTCCTCATACCGCTAATTGCGGCCAGCGATGGTAGTTGAACTCTTACGCGATCGGGCACAGGCCCCCCTACCATCTATGACAAAGACCTAGCTTGAGGGAAGTTCCCGCAGCTTGGCTTTACCTTTGTTTAAGATTTTGAAAGTATCGATTGTCAGAAATGAAAGCGACCCTTAAGTGAGATCCACTTATTCTCAGAGAACCAATTTCTTCAGTCTATGGTGACTTCTAGATTGGATTTCAATTAAAGACCAGTTTCCTGATCTAGATTGAATTGTCTAGGTAGCAATTTTTTACAATCATTTTAAGGTTTAAAAACTTTTCTACAAATATATATCTATATTTACTAAATTATAGAAATTTAATAAGAAGGTGTAAATTATATTTATAATTGAAGTAAAAAAAATAAACTTATTGAATAGTTAATTAAGTTTTGAAGCAAAAAGGTTGATATTGTTAGATACTATACATTTTGAAAACACCAAGATCTAATATTATTTTTAATAACTCGATTAAGGGATTGATAATAGTTGATTATTGAATGGTTCGAAATACTTAAAGAATAAAAAAATTTAGAGTATTGCAAACGATAAGAACTTTTTTTTTATTAATTACAATTTTAAATCTAGTAATAAGAAAATGCATCATAAGAATATTATCAAATAGATGTCTTAGAAATTATTTATGATCGTCTAGAAATTTATAGCAATAAAATTAGGATGATGTAACTAAATTTAATTTTTGAACAAAGAAGAAATCAACATTAAGTAAAATCAAAGAGAAAGAAATATTTTTTATATCATGAAGATGAATACTTTAAAGATAAAAAATCAATTTATTGGGCTTATGTCACCATCAAATAAGTATGAAGTTGTTTAAAAGAACCTAGGAGAATGATTTATAATTGGTCGTAGATATTTGTAATTAATATTTACTCTAAGGAATTGAATTGAATTTAACTAACTTTGTAAATTATGATTATATGCATTGAATTTCAAGACTTTAACAATAATATTAATAATTGATATAACTACATCAACATTTATAGATTCAATCTTAATCATTATCATAATCAATTTAAGCTAAGCCTTAAGAATCATAATAAACATCATTTTTCAATCTTTTGATAGTTAGTTAATTCAATTATTATAATTTATCTCTAGATATTCTTTTTCAGTGATCCAATTTCTAACATTTTCTGCTATAATTTCTTGATATCTAAAATATAGATTTTTGTTTCAAATTAATTCTTAGTTTCATTTTTTTCACTAATTTTTTTATTTAAAATGTCAAATGATTGAAATCAACTTTATCAATAAAATATTTGGACGATTTTAGTTTAAATAGAAGTTTTTGAAAGCATAAATAATTATTATTTCAGAGACTAATGATAATAGGATATACCAAATTAACTACAAATTATTATTCTAAAAATTAAAATAATAAATTATCTGTAGGATTTCCATTCTTAAATAAAAGAAATACTTCTTAATTAATTCTAAATCTGCTTTGCTTACTTTAGCTCTATTTTATCCTTTTATATTAGTGTTCTATCAAGTAAAAGGCGAAGAATGAAGACTAACCATTTATGGATAGATATTAATTGTTACTGAATTTATCCATTCAGATATAAATATATACATCTTTAAATCAATAAATCGAAAAAATAAAATTATATTGAGTATTTAAATAATTAATATTGTAAGTTGGAAAAAATACAAAACTTAATGATCTCGAAATCTGAAGAACTCTATCAAGTTTAAATATCAAATTGATTAACAAAACTTTAACTTATTTTTTTTTGTTCTTAAAAGTTAAAGACATTATTTAAAATTGCCAAACTAATAATTTATCAAACATTCTTAATGTTTTAGATCAAATATTTTCTTTAATATTTTTTATTTATAATGTAAATGTTTTAGATTTTTTGATATATTATTTCTATAGAGGCTGATCGTAAATTTGAAAAAGGATTTATCAATCACTTTAGGTACTTTATTAATAACAATTTAGTAAGTGAGTTCAATCAAATTTAAATCTGAAGAACTTTATATTCCTTTTTAAAAATATTTCGCCTTAGTGCCAGATAGGCTAATAATGTTAGCTTCAATATCTAGAATATCTTCTTAAATTTAAGTTTTTATTGAATTATCATATAGAAATTAATTTTCAACTGGGATTTGCAGGTTCTTTAGTTTTATTAGGTGATAAATATAATTATATGGGAGAATATTAATCTGTCATAGAAAATAGGAACATTTTTATAAATGAATCCTTTATGTATGAGTAATCAGGCATTTCATAATTTTGAGAAGATCAATATGGGAAACAAATTTCGAAAATTCTAGATGGAATTTTATAGATAATTTCATAGAGTTAAAAAAAGAAGTCTTCATTTTTCCAATAATTGTTATATCCATATTCATAAATCCTATTGAAGGTCTTAAAAACCTTGGCAGATTACATAGAGTTAATTTTAATGAAAACAACAATGTCTCAAAGAGACTAATACAAAGAATAGACTATCTAAATCATCCTTATAACCTAATTATTAACCTTTTTGAGATGCTCTGCTGGAAAAGTTAAACGATCCGAAGAATTTATTTCTTTTAAGAATTTTTTAATTTCTTACGATTGAGATAAGCCAAAATTAACATACCCCTACTTTAGTATTTTATCTTTAGAATGCTATTGAATTTCTTATGAGAACATTATATATCTAAATGTACAATTGTGAATATATGTAATTTACTGCAAAAAAATAAAAAATAAAAGACAACCAAATTTAAATTTTCAATTTACCTATATAGTTTAGAAACTAAATTCAATTATTTAAGCCTAATTAAGATGCAAATATAATATGATAATTTATCAAATAAATAAAATCATGATACAAGAAAAATAATTAGATTATTTAACTGATTTTTCATGTACTTAACATATAGAATAATCAATCCATACAATAGTATTAGAGTAAAGCTTAATTATTGAAAAAAGATTATTGTGTTCCTTATGTGTTAAAAATATTGATAACAATTAAAAAACAATTGAGATTGAGAGAGCTTTGGAGATTACGGAGTAGAAAGTGAGAGAAAATTCAAGAAATTATTTAGACTTTTTATGGTCTTAAATTATTAATCTACTTAAACTATAGAGTAATACTTGTCAAATGAGATCCTATATAAATTCAGAATTAGAGTCAATAATATTGGATAAAAGAGTTGAAAAATTTTAATAATTAATATTAGATGGAGATTATGATCAAAAAACTTGATAATCTATTGAATTCTTAAAATAAAGAAACCGAAAGAGATTCAAAATTAGCAATTACCCAGCTTCATCAAAATGCTGTATTATAAAGTTATCAAATGAGTATCTACCTAGAGTAATTTAATTCCTTTTAAGAATATCAAGAGCGTCAGCAAATTTTAGAAATGATGACTAATATTATAAAATCAGAATATAGCATTCTATGTTGTAGTCTCAAAAACAAAAAATTAACCATTTACATTTTATATATATGCCTAGAATTCTATCAAATAACCTGAATATTGCAATGCCATAGCTATTAATTAAGAAAACACAGCAGTTTTGGTTGGATTTGAAAAAGAGATCAGAGTTTTTGAATTAACTGAGAATAAACTATTTTAATTAGAAATATTAAAAGGACATAATGACTCTGTATTTACACTTGATTTTTCCAAGAAATAAAAGAATTCATTCATTTCAGGATCTTGAGATAACTCCATAATGATATGGTTGTATCAAAATGAATAGACAAAATCTTGGACATGTTCTCAATAATTAGTAAGGCATACTTCCTCCATATTTTGCTTAATCTATAATTAGAAAGAAGATCTAATAATATCTGGAGTGATGATAAAGCTATAAAATTTTGGACCTAAAATGAAAATTGTGAAAATAACAATAAATAATTATGGTCTTGTTCCTAAACTATAAGAAAATATAGCAGTTATATTTATGCATTGTCTATGAATGAAGATCAAATAGAATTAATTTGATATTATAATTCATATCTCTATTTTCTCATTAATTACTTCATATAAATTTTAAAAAGTTAAATTTATGGAAATACAAATAATTTATATTGGTACTAAGGGAGATTTTGAAATAAAATAGCTTTTATTGAACGAAAGCAGTGAATATTAAATTCTTATTATTTACTTCTGTAACGAGTCTAAATAGATATTTACACAGATTATCATTATTTTCTAATTCTAAGATTTATTCAAGGGCAGGCTCTCTCATAATTAAGTAATTTATAGAAGAATAATATCATTTCCTATTTTAATGATCCTATTATTATAATTTTTCTCACATTGTTAAAAACTGAGTGTTTTTAATTTGATTTAAGAAAGAATTAAGATGGTTATAATTTTTAAATATTTAGTTTAATCCTCAATTATTGTATTTCTAAACTTCTCTTTAGTACTATATTCTTGGGAATCAATGATCTAATTTGTACTCTTAAATAATATTTCATTTAACCTCTGCATATATTAATTTTTCTGTAATTGTCAATATTAATTTTCTAACTATATATGTTATAAGTCTTAACCAGATTATAAAGAAATTGAAAACCGTAAAATTAGAGTAAAACAAGTTATTGAAGTATACAGAATGGAGAAGTAAAAGACTCTTTTTTATTTAAAATTCATAGAATTACAATAATCATCAATCTGATTAAATAAGATGATTAAAATTCATAGTTAACTATTAACTTCACACTTTTTTGCTTGAGATATATTCTAAAGAAAGTAGCCAATTATAATTTAAAGCAAACCTGTTAATGATATATCTTTGCTAATAATTAAACTAACTTATAGCATAAACTTTAAATTTTGATGATTTAATCTTTCATTATATTACAATGTCTTTCAAAATAACCATGACCTATATGTATTATTCATTTTTTTACTTTCCTAAAGTAGATTCTAAACTTTAATTTTACTAAAGGTTTAAAAATTTAAAGATCTTATCAAGCTTTTGAATTAATTTTCCATATTTCTTCTGCTGGACTGCCACCTAAAAGTTATTTAGAGATAAATATATATTTATATATTCATTATTGGGAATCTCAAATTTAGAGCAATTAATACTTGAAAATGAATTTAATTAATTTTATTGACATAGGTATTTAAATACTATTTTAGGACCTTTATGAGTTAATATCATAAATGGAAATCAAATTTGACATCCATCACTCTGTTAGGTTTAATCTTAGAGAAGCTACATAAAGTACTTCTTGAGCGAGCATTCTACTTATCCCTTTCACTACAGTAATTGATTGAAGGATGATAATACTTCCAAATCATAAATTAGACATAATCAAATGGTGTCAACAAAAATAATAAAAATCTCTTACACTTTATTGGTTACATTTGAACTATTATCAAGAAATCTACTAATATAAACTTTATAATAGTACATGTACTATTATTTGATAATAAAATAGGATATTATAGTTTTATTTAATACAGTCTTATTTCATGTGATAAAGATACAATAATTTATTATAAAAGATTTGATAATTAAACTGAAGCCCCTATACTTCTTTAATTTTGGAGAATTCAAGAATTAACAACTATTTTAATATATATAGAGATTCAAAATAGTTAATTATCATATTAAGCTGAATTTATTGAATCAAATTACTTATATTAGGTTGATAAATTTCTTAATTATATTATAAAGAGTATAAATATATATCAATAATAAAGAATAATGAATTTGATTATCAATGGTTATTGTTCATTTTGTCTGTTTAAATAATAAGTTTAAGTACTAAGATTTTAATTTTAAATTATGTGCATTTAATTAAAACACATAATTATATTATTTATATTAATTTATAATGATATTACTCATTGTTTTAGTTTATACAACTCATCAAACTCTCATTTATTAATTTCATGCAAATTCTGGCATAAGAGATGGTAATTTCTTATTATTTTTATTTTAGAATGGCAAGATTTAAATAATAATGTTAATTTCAATACTTGTGGAGGGATTCAATATTTTGGGTAATCTAGTTCTAGTAGTTGGATTGATATTAGCAGAATATTTTTAGATCTAGAAGATTTTTTAAATATGATAATACTATAATTGTAGACTATTTATATGGTAAATAAACAATTAGTTCTAGTAGTTAATAAATAGAAATATTAATAAGAAATCATAATGATCCTATATTATTATTAAATATTAAAACCTAAATAGATTCAGAATATAGTTTTATAAGAGATTTTGAAGTATTTTACACTTAAACAGAAACAATGTTTAATTATTTGAATGAAGGTTGTTTAGAGTAAATTGATGATAAATGTCTAATTTGTTAAGAAGGTTGGATTTAAGATGAATTTTTAGAACATTGTTATCCAATTTGTGGTGATGGAATCATTCAAGGTTAAGAATAATGTGATCATGGTAATCTAATATCAAATCATTCTTGTTATTTATGCTAATATTCATGTATACAATTTTGTTTAATTTGTTAATTTGGAATTTGTTTATAATGTTAACATGGATTTGTATTTTCTTAAAACAGGTAAAATTGTATATTTGTATGTGATGGTATCATTTAAGAAATCGAAACATGCTAGAATTAAAATAATATTCAATTTAATGTAAGTAATAAATTTTAATAAAATTGTGATTTAAGATGTTAGCTTTGCATTAATTAAATATGTTTCCTTTGTGATATTGGATGGGAACTTAGAGATAACCAATGTTATTCATTTTGTGGAGATGGATTAATTGCTTTGCATTCAATTGAATAATGTGACGATGGAAATTAAATTGAAAATGATGGATGTTTTGGCTGCCAACTTGAATGCATTACTAATTGCCTTTCATGTTTAGATAACGAAGTTTGTTTCATGTGTTAAGAAAACTTTTAATTAGAAGGATAATTATGCTTACCAATATGTGGTGATGGCATTATTATTAGTGGATTTGAAGATTGTGATGATGGAAATATTGAACCTAATGACGGATGCTATTAGTGCAAATTTGAATGTTCATAAGGTTGTCTTAATTGTAAAAATGAATAAGTTTGTAAAGAATGTAATAGTTCATATATCTTAAATAATCAAACGGCAATATGTTAAGAGATCAAATAATTAGATTATTAGAATCAAGGTTTAAACGAAAATCCAAATGAATTTGAGGATACCTTGAATATAGTATGCAGCAAAAATTTCATTTTAATAGATAATGAATGTGTTAATTAATGTGGAAATGGAATGCTTAATAATAAATATGAACAATGTGATGACGGAAACTTAATTGGAGGAGATGGATGTTCTTTTTTTTGTATTGAAGAAGATACTTTTAAATGTCAAAATCATTAAGATAGTATGAGCATATGTTCTTTCATTAAACCTCCTGACTTCATGTTATATCGTCTCTCTAGCTAAAAAAATCAAACTTAAACGATTGAATTAAGATTCACATAAAAGGTCAAATTATTAGCTGATTTAAGCTTTGAAGAAATTGCAGTAATCAATCTTATTCCACAATCCCATGAAATTATTAATATAAAGCCGATTGTCAAGCTATCAACGACATTTGATAATCCAATATATTAAATTTTTGTTGAATTCTTAGAACCTGTAAAGGATCCTGTCCTTTAGATTAATTTCAATCAATTAATTATTAAAAATGAACATGATTTAGATTTGATGAGAAATTAGATGCAAATCAATTTTGGTAACCCTTTTGTGTTATCTGAGACTACCTAAAAAAAAGTGACATAAATTGTACTTCTTAATGATGCAATGATTTATTCCATGATTAGCATTTCAGGATTATCATTGCTAACTGGAAATGCCATAATGTTTTTCAATATGTTAGATCTATTATAGTCTTTATCCTATATTACATTTATGTAATATTCATTTCCCCCTAATTTAATATAATTTCTGAACACTTTTACTAAAGTATCGTTAAAACCAATGATGGATTATTTCAGAATAGATGAAATATTAAGTTCTTTAAATGGGGGAAGTTTACCATATCAAAGTAAAAAAACATATGAGAATTAATAAAATTCATTACATTAGTATTACTTGGTGAATGCAAAAAGTTGTTACTTCTCTATAATTATTTCATTAATAACATATTTGATTTGTAGGTTGTTCACATCTTAAAAATTTGAGTCATTTCATAAAATTTTATTCCAAAAATTTTAAAATAATTATAGTTACCTGCTTTTTGATAAATGGTTTTCAAAAAAACTCTAGAAATTTTGTACTAAATTCAAAAATGAATACTTCTCTTTTGGAATATAAAAAGTTTATTTTGCAATACTTCATTAATTTTTATTTAGTGCATTGATTTAATTTCCTAATTACAGCTTCAATTCCCCTTTTACAGCATTTAATAGTATCAATGCAATTATTGGTATAGTACTAATAGTATACATAAGTTTATAATTACTATCTATCACATCATCTAATAAAAAAGATAAAAAAAAATGGTTATATTTTTATCAAGATTCCAAATCTTAATTTTGGGCTTCTAATTATAGATCCTTTTAGATCTATAGAGTAATGTTTTACATATTTACGATTGTTTTAGCCCTTGATTATCCATAAGTATAATCAATATTACTTTCAATGTCCTCATTTTTTTATCTAAGCTACTTATTAAAATTTAAACCTCTATAGTCTATTTATGAATATGCAAAACTAATATCAAGAGAATTTTTATTTGTTCTAATAACAGGATCATTTTTAATTTATAGTTTTGAATTTGATTAAAATTAACTGTTACTTTGTGGATGGATTCATCTTGCCCTTTTTTCTTTAATTTTAATATCAAACTTGATCATCGATTTAATTGAATGCATTAATAAAATTTGGAAAAGTTATAAAAGAAAGCAAGAGTTAAAAAAAATTAGATAAATAATAATATTTTATGACAATCCACTTCAAAATTTTGTTAAAGATAACAAAAATTAGTAAAAATGAGATATGTCATAAAAAAATAACAATTATAATTTTTTCTAAATGTCTCATACTATTTATAAAAATCAATACATTATTGTTAGAAAAGTTTTCTGTTTTAAGTATGCATCAAATAATGTATTCGAATAGTTAGATTCTAAGCTATCTATCCTAAACTTCTAACTGATTAAAATATCTTCAATCAATCATATCCTTTCAAGTCAAGAATATATCAGCTAATTCTCATTTTGATTCACTTTTTTAGTAAAATTATCATAAGAAATCCCGATCATGAACCATAAGTCTTTCTTTTGAGATGCATTTATTCTCTTTTTTTTTCATAAAAAAATAAGAACTTATATAAAAATATTCAAATATATATTAATTTTAATTCATAAATTCTTTCTTCTCACTCATATTAATAGAAAAATAAAAAAAATAAATTTAATTTTCTTACAATTTCTAAAGAATAAATTTTTTTGCAAAGCATTCTTTTGCTATTGTTTTTATAATGATTTAAATTAATTCATAATGCAGAAAATTTTATTTCACATTATTATTCCAAATCTAATAATCATCCTTTATATAGAAGAAAAAGCAGATAAGAATTTGGTTAGTTAAAAGATGGGTGAAACTTTAAATTGATGTTGTGTGGCTGATTTAGGAAACAAACTGGAAGGATACCTTGGCTATATTCATGCTTGGAAATTCTGAAAGCCTTTCAAGTTGGTTAGAAGAATATGAGGTCTTTCTCATATCATTTATGAAAATGATATCAGTTTGAGTTCAATTCTATGAATGCCTGAAGACTCTAGAAATTTCATTCACCAAAGGGTTGTAGTACATTAAGCTAAACATTTTGTTATTCCAATTACTAAGTTTGGATTCCTGACACTGGACAAAAGTGGCCGATTGGCTTCCTAAAACTTTTAATCTTAGCTATGATCTAATAAAAAAATATTATTTCATTCAATAAAACGTAGTTGCCAAATTACTAATTACATACTTTGTTTGAAAATATTCTATCTGATATCATATTTACATTTAATCAGGTTTATTTAATTATATAAAATCAACTCATTGATCTAAGGAAGGTTTGATTTTCTATAGAGATTATGATATTTTAGTATATTAATTAAACATTGGATAAATAATTTAAAAAAATAGAAATTGTTCATGTTATTAAACTCTATTTAGAACGGCTCTTAAATTAGACTATTAATTGAACAGATGAAATAATAACTACTCTTTGATTAATAAATCTTAAAGCATGACTATATTTGAAGATATATGGATTAAAGGATAATTTATAGTAAATTCTATTTCATAATATTGATGATATTGAGTAAACAACCTTCCATTTCTATAAATTATGATTAAACCAGAATTACTAAAAAATACCTTTCATTTGAATTCATTTGAAAAGATGAATCAACTCAAAAACAATCTTTAAACTCTAGTAATTAGGCTCTATTATAACCTAAAAATGAATGGTTAATGTATTTGTAATATTTTATACTTTTTTTTAAATCATTAATGAATTTTTTAGATTAATCACTCAGATTTCCAACTATAGCTATGAAGTGATTTTTCCCTTTAAAATAATGTAATATAGTAAGTTTTAACTAATTATTCAATCATTTATGTATTGTGAATAATTATAATACAATAATATCAAATTAAAAGAATCAAATAATTAAATTTTTGATTCATAATCATAAATATAACATCCTTTATAAATTATTTTTTCTTAAATTTAAAGGATTAATTATTTTTATTAAGAATTTATAATACAAAGAAATCGATTTAATAGTCTATTGTTATGACTTTCTATAATTAAATCAATATTTAAATATTCTAGGTGTACTCTTTAATCATATTCTCATTTTAACTTGGATATATATATTTCTTTTTTTAATATATATCAATAATAAAGAATAATGAATTTGATTATCAATAGTTATTGTTCATTTTGTCTGTTTAAATAATAAATTTAAGTACTAAGATTTTAATTTTAAATTATGTGCATTTAATTAAAACACATAATTCTATTATTTATATTAATTTATAATGATACTACTCATTGTTTTAGTTTATACAACTCATCAAACTCTCATTTATTAATTTCATGCAAATTCTGGCATAAGAGATGGTAATTTCTTATTATTTTTATTTTAGAATGGCAAGATTTAAATAATAATGTTAATTTCAATACTTGTGGAGGGATTCAATATTTTGGGTAATCTAGTTCTAGTAGTTGGATTGATATTAGCAGAATATTTTTAGATCTAGAAGATTTTTTAAATATTAGAATACTATAATTGTAGACTATTTATATGGTAAATAAACAATTAGTTCTGCCGATTAATAAATAGAAATATTAATAAGAAATCATAATGATCCTATATTATTATTAAATATTAGAACCTAAATAGATTCAGAATATAGTTTTATAAGAGATTTTGAAGTATTTTACACTTAAACAGAAACAATGTTTAATAATTTGAATGAAGGTTGTTTAGAGTAAATTGATGATAAATGTCTAATTTGTTAAGAAGGTTGGATTTAAGATGAATTTTTAGAACATTGTTATCCAATTTGTGGTGATGGAATCATTCAAGGTTAAGAATAATGTGATCATGGTAATCTAATATCAAATCATTCTTGTTATTTATGCTAATATTCATGTATACAATTTTGTTTAATTTGTTAATTTGGAATTTGTTTATAATGTTAACATGGATTTGTTATTAATGCTAATTTTAATTGTGAGCCTTTATGTGGGGATGGTATTTTAATTCCTTATTCAACTGAATAATGTGAATTGACAGTTAATGGGGTCTGGGATGATTGTTAGGAATGCAGATTTATATCAATTGAAAATTGTAAAACCAACTACTTTACAATTTGCTTAGAATGTGAAGTTGGATTTTAAATCTAAGAAAATATTTGTTAACCTTTTTGTGGAGATCAATTAATTCTTGATTAATATGAGGATTGTGATGATGGTAATTTGCAATCTTATGATGGTTGTTTTAATTGCAAATTTCAATGCATTGAAGATTGCAACATATGTGAACAAGGATAATGCATTTTAAGATGTGAAGATGGATATGAATTTGTTAATAATAATTGTCTTTCTGTTTGTGGTGATCTAATTCTTGATTAATATGAGGATTGTGATGATGGTAATTTGCAACCTTATGATGGTTGTTTTAATTGCAAGTATTCTTGCCCAGAAAATTGCTTTGATTGCTATTAAGGTACTTGTTTAGAGTGCAATTACCAATACTAATTACTAATTTCAAATCAAAGCTAATAGTAATAAAATTGTGGAGATGGATTGCTTTAGGAATAAGAGGATTGTGATGATGGAAATTATTAAGCAGCGGATGGATGCAAGGATTGTTTAATTGAATAAAATTGGATATGCATTACAATGACAAGAGATTCTCTAAGCTTATGCACATTTTTCAAAGCTCCAAACTTAGTGATTAATTATCTCAATATGACTTAAAATAAATAGTATATTAGCATCTAATTTAATTAAAAAGTAAAAATTTACACAGCTTAACCTTTATCAGAAACTATAAATTTTCAAATATTAAATATAGAAAAGAAGAACTGGAATAGCAGCTTATATATTATATAGGATATTGGATTAGATGTAAATTTTGGAGAATTTATTGTCTAAATAGAAATATCATAATTACTTGAATTTAGACCAGTCTTGAAAATTAAAGTAAATTAGACTGTGGCTAATATAGATGATGCTGTGTTGGATAATTTTGAAAAGTCAATAACATTGCAATATACAAAATTTCTTGATGAGAAACAGAAGGATTATTCTTAAAATTTGAAAAATCTTAATAAATATATAATTTATAGTTTGTCTGGAATTACTGGTTTAAGTCTACTATTAGGAAGTGGAGATTTGTTTATTGAAATTATGGCAATTCTTTAATTCTAACAATACTTAAGATACATTAACCTGAATTATCCAGAAAATTTAGAGATTTATTTTACTGTCAATGATATGATAACTATTCAACCTTTACTTGATTTCATCTATTTCCCTCAACTTTTACTGTTTATTGATATTTAGTAAAATTAAGAATATTCTGATGGAAAATTTAATATGTACAAATAAAACTCTAATTTGATCATCAACCTTTCAAGCCAAATATTTCAATTCTTAGTATTTTTATTCTTTATTTTGTTATTTCAATTTATTAAAAAGGTGTTATACAATTGGATATTTTGTTCTAGGTACTTTTACTATATGCCATCATTATCATTATATATAAATCCAAAAGTAATTTTTAAGTTTAGTTAATCCTTTTATAAAATTTGCATGGAATTACTTAAATTGAAAAGATTTATGTCTTTTTAAGGATTATAAAAAGCCTTATTTCTAAATGGTTGGGATATGATATTTAAAACATTATTGTATACACGAAACATTTAAACCAAAAATTACATAGATATTGTACAAATTATAATAGCAAGCATAATCCTTATCCTTTATTTTACCATTTTCATAGATTTTTTTAAAAGTAAATAAAAATTATCAAAGAAGAACAGCTACTAAATTTTTGAAACACTAAATTTTGGTAGATAATTTTTCTTTTTATTATTTTTGATTTATGTTTAAAGTTCCCAAATACTTTAATTAGGATTACTCCTTATGACAAGCATACTTTAGATTAGATTCATATATAATTATCGCTGTCTTTTTAATAAAAAATATTACATTGTTTAAATGGTGGTTGAGATATCGGTATTAACTTTTATAATTAGTTCATTCTTATACATCTAAGAGTGTTATGAATTTTTTAATGAATAGAAAAAAATTTTATTAGGATGGATTCAAGCAATCATACTATCTTCTGGAATAATTATAGAACTAATTTGGGTCTGCAAGGATTTGCTATAAAAATTAATATAGAATTGCAGAAGAAAATCATATAATGTGAAGAATCCATTATTTTTATGAGTATTATTAATAAATTAATCATAAAATTATAAATTAAAGTAAAATCTATTTATTCCGACTAATAATTTTATATATATTTATATAAAAATATTTAGGCAAAATATATTATTTGCATAATGAGCTAATTTTGATAGGAATTAGTTACATTAAGGTGATTTTAGTATAAATACCTAAATTGTAAATAGGTATTGATGATATATGAATTTTAATTTACTTTAAAAAAGATATCTTTATCTAAAATGACGATTTTTTTGAGCAGCAAATTGTTTTTTTAAACTTAAACTTGCATTAAATACTCAAATTCAAATAAAATACCTTATAAATCATAATTAAATTTTTAAATCTAGCACAAGTAAGGTTTATCTTCTTCAATTCTCTGGTTCCTTCTGCTAGTTAATTATAAAAATGATGGAATAAATAGTAATATTTCTATCGATTTGAGAGGTTGCAAATTTTCCTATAAATTTAGGTTGTTCCTTTAAGCTTAGTGTAAATAGAATCATGTGATAAAATATTATTCTATTTTTTTTCTATCAGTAGGATAATATAGATCATCTTCTTTATTTTTATTCAAATAAAATCAAACATGTGATTTTAGAATAAATTCTTAAATAAATTCACCTAGATTAAGTACAAAAAAAATATCAAGATGGAAAAAAAGAAGGAAAAGATATTAATATTAAAGCAGTTATAAGGCGAAAATTGTAAGAAAATAATATAATTGAATATGGGAAGTTTTAAATGGAAAATAGAAATTTATTTTTATACTTAAATTTAACACCAAAATTTTACAAAATACTAATATAAGATTCCTACAGTTAGATGCTATTATTATACTATTCCTTTTAAAGACTAGTACTAATTATAAAACAAAAAGCACCAATAAATTAACAATTTAGAAAAAATACAAATCACTTGCAGATTTTGAGTTATAGTCATATGTATTTGATAAAATTTACAATTTTAACCCAAAAATGTATCTAAATATTAACTAATTTTCAATAAAATTTACAAAATTTGATATTTTTTCTTAAAAAAGTCATATTTATTATTGATGAATTGATCATGAACATTTTTTTGATCATTTTTCCTATATGTAACTCTATTTTTGAAAACATAGAATTTTTTTAAATATATTAGTTTCTCTATACCATAAGAATAAGACCTTTTCTAATAAGATATATAACTTGTACTTTTTAAAACTACCAATCTATATGTTAGACATGGGTATTTGGGACATATGAATCAATTTTGAATATGAAAATTTTGTTTTTTTAATTTCTTAAGTCCCTTATTGCTCATTTTTTAAATAACTTTATAAAAATTAGTCACAATTTTGATTTAAATTATTAAAATTTTTCCTATTCATAGTGATTTGCCTTATTGATTTTCCATATCTAATAAATATTTGTTGTAAAATTAAATACTTATCATAATCTAAGTTTTGTTACAATTAAACAAGATTTATTTGATACAATAAGACAATTATTGAGATTCTTTGAATAAATAAACACATGAAATTTAGCTTTATATTGCTAAAAGTTAAATCTGTTTCTCAGCAGCTTACTAATTATATTTTAGAAAGTCAATTTTGTTGTAACTTATAATTGAATCTCTGTTTCTAAATTATTTGAGCAGGATTGATATATTGAAATTAATTATAAATAAATAAATTTATCAACATCATTTCATTTTTCAACACCTTGCTAAATTTTACAATACAAATTACTTTGAGTAACTAGGAGATGTTTAGAGAAGTATGCTCTTTTCATAATTAATCTTATAAAAATTGATGCAAGAGAATTTAGAACTCATCACAGTATTCAATTTAGCTTTTCTTATCAAGTCCTTCAACTCTTTAATTTATTTCATGCAAAAATATTACGTCAATCGTATTTGACTAGTAAATCAGCTTCAAGATCTAACAGTTATTCAATTGTAAATTTAATTTGTCATTTTTTAATTACAAAGAAGGATAATTTTTTTTCTGATTATGGAATGATCATTAAGATTGAAAATTCATAATAATTTTAATCTAGGATTACTAGTAGTTCGATTAATAGTGATTGAACCTCTGTAGTTATATTAAATAAAAATGATATATTTGTTTATGGGTTACATTTATTGATTCTGAAATTGAAAGCATATATAATTCATTCTATTTTTTTAAAAAGATAAAAGTTTTCCAAAAAATATTAATTAAGCCTTTGAGAAGACATAAAAATGAATAATTGCTGCTAGCTCAGTTCTGCATAAAATAAGAAATTGTTGTACTTTGACATTAACAAAAATAATTTCCAAATTTCAAAAGAATGAGACTTTAGATATTAAAGACATAATTGGATGTCTTGTTAAATAAAGATTTAGATTATTCTATTTTAGCCATTTTACAATGTGGTTTTGCTCACCTCAAAAATATTTGACATTATATTTATTTAAAGAAAATAAAATATCTTGTCCTAAAGATATAGTCCAATGACTATATATATAGAGACCTCACCAAGTCAAAATTTATAGCACATCACTTGGAGAGGAGCATCCCCGTGAAAGTATAGTGCTTTGCGAACACTATATGAATAATCTATTTTCCAAAGTGCCAGGAGATCCAGTCCTTGAAATGCTTTTCTTAGGAAAGCTTAAATCAGGGAACACCTCATCTGAAAAAGAAGGTATGATTAAAATAATTACTGATTGTTGGATGGACAAATAAGTTAAATATGGTCCTAGAGGATATCTAGAGTATCTAATGAAAAGATATCAGATTAATTAAAAAAGTGATATAAGATGGGCAAAATACAAAATACTTAAAGCCCCAAC